GTTTGTTGTGCTCCTGGATGTGGCCTTTTTGGGGTGAACCACATAAATATTTATATTCTTGTGGTATATGTTTCATGCTTTATTTTTCATACTTTATTTGCTGAATATTAACCCACTGGGTTTAAAGCTTCCCTACACAACAAAGTTGCCATCCCTGCCCCACCAAGCCTTGCCAGTGGCTAACTCTTAGATTCCAGACATTATAAAAGGGGTGAAGTTTCCATAAGGCATCAACCTTAGTACAGATCAAGCATATACAAACAATTAAATTTTTTGAAAATGGATGGTTTATATAATGTGTTACAAAATGCACTACGTTTAGGACTTGATATTCTCTCTTAATTTTATTATTATTATTATTATTTATGTATATCCATATATCATGAGGTAAAGATGATCACTTGAAGGATAGCAACCTTTTTGGATAGATTTTTGAGGTGTATCTTACTTCTACATTATAAGATTGACCCTTATGTAAACTTTTTCCTTACAAAAATAAATCGTTTATTGAATGCATCTAACACCATGGATGCCAGTACTACAACATATTTTCCATCAATGATTGCACACCATTAAGAGCATACATTAAAAATCACTATTGGAAAGCTCATAAATAATTTTCATTGTAATGACATTTTATAAACTTATTTTTTTCCTCAAATAAATTTTTACAGATCAGTCTCTGTTGGTGGTTAGATATATGCATATGCTGAGTACCCAAATCTGATCGAGATGATTTTGTATGGTCGGTTGATGTTTTAGACTTTGGTGGCGATCGGAGAAGTGGCAAGGGAGGTGCTACAAAATAGTGCAGATTTTAGACTCATAGAACCAAAGGACTTGAACAAAACACACCTCGTTCTATCACTTAGGAACGGGTACATTTGAACCGAAAGACCGGATTCATGTGAAGGATGCAGCGACATGGGGGCTTGTGAAATGGTTGGCTAACAACAACAAAAATCCTCTGATTGATGCATTAATGGAGGCAGGCTCAGACATGGTGGATATCCACGTCTCCACAATCTTTCAATCCATCAATCGCGAAAGTAAATACCTTCGCATTGAGGCAAGTGGAGAACACAAGAAAACTTGTATGTTCATGTTAGTTGACTCATATTGCAAAACACGCACACAGACACATACACATGCCATGGACAAATGCCAGATCTTTTGGACACAGGACTACGAACTACCGTATCAAAACTTAGCCATGGATGATGCAAGCGATAAAAACGTCCAAGAGCTTGAAGTGAGAGGCAAATGTCTTTTGGATGAATCTGTGAAAAGGGTGAACCTGGAGACTGGTTTAGCTGAACCGGTTGGCGATGGAGTCACCAATCGTGGCGCTTTAATAGAGTAAGTAACAGAGTTCTGTACTTCTTTTTGTTCACAAAAGCCTATCTTTTCATGCATTTGCTGGTTTATGTTTTTGAATGTTATGGTTGTGTTCATTTTACAGATTTGCCAAAATTTTATCAGAAGAAAAGAAAACCCGCATCCAAAGCTTTGCGGTTCACTTGGTTGAATTGCATCATCAGTTCTGCTGGTTGCTCTTTACGCATAAAACGGAAGCACAAAATAAGGCATCATTAGTTGTTCTATGCCAATCTAATTAGGGTTTAATGGGCAGTAGCTCTTTTTAAGTGCCATTTAGGCACATGATTAATCTCCTTGGCTTCTAAGCTCCTAGGTTTTCAAATTAAAAGTATGCAATAAATTTTTATTTAGGGCCTTATAAGCAGCCAGATTTGTTTTACTGCCATCTCTAAGTCCCTTTGAGTGCACCATTCGTGCTCGCCCCACTCTATTTGATGTAGAGATAAGCGTTGATATCAATCGATGTAGGGAAGACGGAAAATAAATAAATAAATAAATTAAAAAATAAAGATGAAACTAAATAAATGAAAGGGTATACCCTCTCTTAGTGGTTGCAATAGTATTTGCAAGGGTGTCCACTTCAAAAAAATCTCTTCACAAGATCTAAAATAAACTCTTATTCTCTTCAATAATATTTCCTATTCTAATAGTTACATATTTCTAAAAGAAAAAAAAACTTAAAATCTAAGTTTCTCCCTAAAAAAATTTAATTGATATTAAATCTTCTAATTTTGTCCCTCAATCCCTAAAACAAAAAAGATATAAACAACCCTAAAGAATATTGCAAATCCAATATAACCCAAGCCTAAATTTTAATATCTTAAAAGAAATAAAATTAAAAAAAATAAAGACCCTGTTTGCATTGCTATTGCTGCTGGGCTTGGGCTTAGGCTCCCTTGTGTGATATCCATGCCTGGCTGGAACTAGGTGGCCTCTAAATCATCATCATTGCCTTGCCATGTCCTCCTCCATCACCTCCCCTAATTCCCTCTACAGACAATCACGCATCTACATTTCCTGTTAGCTCCTCGTGCTACATTTCCTGTTTGCTCCTCGTGCCGTGGTTATCACCTTCTCCTTCTTCGTTACGTGTTGCCGTTAAGCACTGGTTCCTCCTCTTCTACCACCAGCTCTTCAGCCGGATCATTCATAAAGATGCCATCAAGGTTGAGCAGGGTATAGTTATCAACTTTCCTCTCCAACTGCCGCTCGGTTCAAATTTGATTTCACTTATGCTACTTTGTGAAGTCATTCCAAAATCAATCCAATACTCTTAAGGGGCGTGCATTCATTTGAACATTACTCTAGTTTCACTTACACCTTGTGGCATAACAATTTGGGAAAACATTTGGTCGCCTCGGAATAGCCCGAGTCTTTTTTTGATTAAAGTAAACCATCTGGTCATCTCGAAATAGCCCGAGTCTTCCTTGGATTAGAGTGAGTCACCCTTTTGTTTTTTTTTTGTTTTACAAAACTGAATGAAAGAAAAAAGCATCTATTTCTCTCTTATAAAAAAAAAAAAAGAAAGAAGAAGAAGAAGAAGAAGAAAAGCATCTATTGCTTTCTCATTTCTTCACAAAAAGGTATCGCATAAATTATTTATATCTTATTACCAGCAATCTACAGTTATCTTAAAGAGATCAGGGAACCCACTGCTGATAGAAATAGAGGCATCCCTCAAGGAAGTGCGATATTGAAGTTCCAGTGCTAATAGTGTACTCCTGCAAGAGCACATTATACACTTACACTCTTAGACATAGTACTGGCTTAGGAGGGTTATTTCCCTCTGGATGATCTACTTTACAATCACAGTATTATTATTTGAAAAAAAAAGAAAAAACAAATTTGAATGTCAATTTTGGAACACTTAAGAGCTAACTATCGAGCTAACTATCCATGGTTGGTTAACTTTTAAGCTCATATTTTTTAAGCACCTTCAGAGTAAGTGCATTTTTTTTAGTTGGTCACCCCTAATATATGGGCACTAAAAATACTTAAAACAGTGAATGTACAAAATACTCCAGCGGGAGCATAAAATCTTTTAGCTTGAAGTCCGGTGTACCACAAAGGACAATCCTTAATATACTGCAATACAAAACACGTCTCATAACCTTGCCTTCATTTCCATGGATCTGTCCAAATAACCATCATGCCCTTCACCAAGAAATGGATAATCTGTGTACCCTACAACCGGGTCATGGGTGTAAAATGTGGGTCTGTTATACTTAGTCAAGGGCCCATTCACCTTGAACCTATGGACCAAGTCCGGGTTAGATATGAAGAGCCTCCCATACGAGACTAGGTCGGCTTCGCCTCGAGCCACCGCACCCATTCCGAGCTCTCTAGTGAACCCACCACTCATAATTACTGTCCCCTCATAGGCCTCTCTAAAACTGGCCATCAACCTGCCTTCTCTCTCTTCTTCACTTTCTTCTTGGAGTTTCTTCTTGCCATAAGCTGTGTATCTGGTTGGGTTATGTGGAGGTAAGCTAGCTTCTCTCCAAAGTCATTTTGTAGTTTGTTAAGGTGGTGAATTAGGCACAGTCCCAGAGTGAGGGTGTCAGAGTCGGTGGCATCGAGGTGGTCGATGGCGGGAGAGATTCGGATGCCGACTCGGTGGGGTCCAATTGCAGAGGCGACAGACTCTGTGATTTCGATTGCGAACCTTATGCGATTTTCAGGGGGGCCCCCATAAGCATCTGTGCGGTCGTTGATGCCGTCTTTGAGGAACTGGTCTATGAGGTAACCGTGGGCACCGTGGATCTCCACGCCATCGAAGCCTGTGGGATAAGAGGATTAGGGAGGGCCATGGCTAATTGAATTAAGAGAAAGAGAAAGAGTGACTTAACCTGTATTATGGAAGAAAAATAAATAAATAAGAAAATAAATATATATATATATATATATATATATATATATATATGAAGTTCAATGGGTTCAATTTCAAAATTACCAGCTCGAATAGAGTTTATGGCTGCTTGTCGATATTGCTCAACCATTTGAGATATCTCATACTGTTTTAATGGTACAGGCTTGGAATAGTCTCCATAAGTTCCATCCGGTAGCAGTATTCTCCATCTATTGGAGATGGCTTTGTTTGTTGAAGAAATTGGACTTGCACCATGGGGCTGGTACACTGAGCCAAGAAGGAAAAAAGTGAAGGCAACGACAAAAGGAAGACATGATGAGAGGGAGAGAGAGAATTTGGATTAGATAATATTAAACATTATTAGCATGGAAAACAAGTATGAACCTACGGGATGTGGACAAGTGTCGTCTTTTTTTTATTTGTAGTGTTGACAAACCAAGGACATGAGGTTGTATCTGACACTTCGTCTTTGTAAACTGTTTTTTTTTTTAGAAAGAGAGAGGGGGGCGTCCGTGTCAGTCCAGCTAGGTTACGAACCTGAGACATCGATGTGCATGAACAACACTCCACCGTGACAGCAGATCAAGCTGTCAAATCTTCTCTTTGAATGGTGTACGGTCGTGTCATATTCACTTATAAGATTAACATTTCTAACATATATCCATTTCAAATAACAACACAACACATGGATATGTGTCTATGAAACAAAGGTGAGGAAGAAGAACAAGGAAATCCGCCTTATCACTGTCAGGGAAACCATGCTGTTGCAGTGTGAAAGCTTAAATAAACACTTATCTACCTTTTGAATACCCTAAAAGCCCTTGATTTTCTAAAGAGCAATAAGCCTAATCCCTTAAGTGTTATATTTCTAATCAATCAGAATTAAGTAGTCAATCTTGATTAGACGCAGTAAGAAAATGACCAGAGTTTGATCAACATCTGAAATATAAAAAAAAAAAAGCGTGTTCTAAAATAATCACAATCTTAATTAGGAAATTTTGTGAGTTGGTGAACCTAAGATTAACAAACTAACCTTCATTTGAAGCTCTTCCTACATGCCATAGTTGACAAAAGATAATGCCCCCCTTAGCATGCACTGCATCCACAACCTTCCTCCATGAAGTGATTTGCTCCTCTGCGTAAATCCCAGGGACATGTGGGAAACTAAACAAGCAAAAATAAAAAATAACAAAGTCAATGTTTTATAATTGTTGATTTTTTTATGTTAAATATGATTATTCATGTTCTTAGAGTGATAGCAGTCATAACCTACTAATTTTTAAAAGGGTTCTGACATCAAATTTGGGTGCTAAAACAGCAAAATACCATTTCTCTTTTATAAATAATTTTAAAAGTAATAGGTTGATATCTTGTGTAAATTTATTCCTTATAATTTTTTATTATACATGGAAAGTGAACAATAAGATATTCGCTTTTGGTATAAGGACGTCACAATCAACCTTAGTCGTATGGTGTGAATCAAGTACTTTGAGATTGCCATTAACTAGGCTCAAAGTATGGAGGACACACCTCAAGTTGTCATATTTTACATCCAACAACTAGGATTTTACATTTACGACTACAAGTGATTGCAGCCAAAGCAAATTGTCTTATACTACACAATAATCCTTTTATATTGAGCTAAACAATATCAAATCCAATATAATATATTGAGCAAAATGGAGATATATGTATAGAAGAGTGTATAATTACCCAGCTGCCCTAGGAGAGGTGATGGTGCCTTCTGTGATGAGGAATCCACCAGGCGTAGTCCTTTGGGAGTAATACTCCACATTTGCGGGCTGTGGAATTCCATTTATGGCCCTGCATCTTGTCATGGGGGCTAGAACAATTCTTCACAAAGAGAAGAGGCAAAAGTGGAAATTAAGTAAGTGGCATGAGTTGTATGGCTATGGTGATGTTGTATTTAACTAAAGTAAGCAATAAAAGTGCCTTATGGTTTCTAAGATATTTGATTTGTATCAATGTTTTAAAACCTGGCTATGTCTGATTGGGATCATCAATTCGAAAGGGAATCGAATCAGGACTGAACCGGCTCTGAGATGGTATGGGTCTTGATATGGAGTGTGTAAACTTCAAAACCTTACCTTACAATATATTCCAACATATCAAAGAATCTCTCTCTCTTCTCTCTTCCAATTTGTTTAATGGAAGTCAAGGTTGAAAGTGCCTCTCTCTCTCTCATGGTTAGAGAGAGCTCCAATGTATTTAATGGAGGTCAAGGTTCAAACTGCCTCTCTCTCAGAAAGCTCCAATTTGTTTAATGGAGGTCAAGGTTCAAATTGCCTCACTCTCCAATTATTGAGAAACAGGCTGTTGCAATTATTTAAAGGGTGTGGTTTGCGTAAGGTTGAGGCCCTAAACAATCAAAGTAAGGCGCACCTTCAAATAGTGCTGGAATATGTTGTCTCACTATCATAAATTTTTATGATGGCTTTAAAATTTATTTTTGTCATGAATTATAAAATTTAAAGATCCAAAAATAGTGTAGATCGAGTAAATCTATGAACACTTAAAAATTAAAAAAATTGACCATCTAGATAACACATCTTAAGATGCACTATTTTTAAAATTTGAAATCTATGTTTTCTCGTGTTCATACATCTAGAGGTTGAGATGATCGAATTTAGGGTTTTTTAAAACCTCTTTTAGTGAATTTTTTAGGTTCGCCTTAATTTGATTGTTTAGGGCCTCGCCCTTATATAAACTTTTTCCCTATTTTAAAGGAAAAGCAGCACATACAACAATAGAATATGGTGTATGGCACATACGGACAGCTTTTGTCAACAAAAATATACCCCATGCGAGCACCACCCATCGTCACAAATGGACGGCAGATGACAAATGGTAGTCGATACGACGCTTGTGTATGTAGACCTCTTCTTCCTCTTCAATTCTACAATTATTCCCATACAATAATTTTGATGTCTTTGTGGTGGCCGGGACGCATCTCAACCGCTCATTACCAAGATGGGCAGTGGAGAGTACGAAGCCGATAAAGGTCGCGTGTTATTTTTGTTCTCCTCTTTTTTATCTAAATTTGGTAATTTATCCATTAAATTTACATAAGGGAAGAAAACAAATTTTAGAGTTTTGTAAAAAGTAGAAAAAGTTAAAGAAAAATGCAAATTACATTTTTAAAGTTTGAAATTACAAATTAAAAATGCTTGCTCTGGAAATCTCCCCTGATCTAGAGAGAAAGAATTTTGTTTCTTTTTTTTGGGGGGTAAATTGTCCCCCCCAAAATAGCTCAAACTTAAATAAGGAAACAAAAATCAGACACCCAACATTCCATAAAAATTCAATAAAAAATAGAAAATTAGAAGAACCATGAGACTCTGTTAAGTACTTTCATGGCGATACTTTGAGCAAAAGTTGAGCAGAGAGGGAATCATGGGTTTTTCCTTACCGATCTAGAGAGAGAAATACATGGGCGAAATCATCAATATTTAGAGAGAGAAAGAGACAATCATGTGTATTTTATAATATCAACAGACACACAGAAAGGGGGGGGGGGTGAGACAAGTATTTAGGGATTTAGGCCAATAAAATGCAATCTCCCCTAAGTTTAGAGAGATAAAAGCCTATAGGTTTTGACTTTTGACATACCTGTGTGAAAGCTTGAACTTGCCCATGGTGTAAGGGGCAAAAAGACCCAACTCCTCTGCGCCATCCGCCATTGCTGTGATGCTCAAGCTCTGGACCAATTTGATCGTTTTGTCCACGGAGAAGGCCAAGACCTATACAGCGATGGTCAATTGAAGGGCAAAACAATCATTTCACCTTAAAAAAGTGAGCACATGTTTTGTATGGAGAATTGTCCAATGGAAACAAGGCCACTCCGCCAAACTTTCCCAAAAGCTGTGTGTTTTTATTGTGTAAATATCTCTCTGTTTTTTTTTGGAAAATGGTTTTACAGGGCTGCAACCTTATACTATTGAAGTAAGATATACCTCAAAACTATTCAGAAAATGTAGTTTCCGTGCTATAAAGCCTTACAAAATCTATTTTTTCTGATTATAAAATTTAAAGTTCCAAAAATAGTGATGATCAAGCAAATTTATTAACACTTAAAAAATCTTAAAAATAAATAATAAAAAAAATGTATTAGAAGATGAGCCTTTTTTTCGAGTAAAAATCCCCTTTTCTTGATGTATACGAACCTTCAGATGACCAATTTGAGAGTTTTCAAACTTACGAACAACTTGAGAGTTTTGAAGGAACAACCTTCCCTTTTAGGTGCACCTTAACCACCTTATATACACCTTTTCTAATAAGTAAATCCTCATTGATGTCTCTTCCAAAATTGCAATAAGTGTTCACATATCGCAAGATCTTTATCACTTTTTAGCTTGAAATTTTATTGTCGATGTTGAAAATTAATTTTAGATCCATCATAGAGATGTTTGTCACCGAAAGTACTTTTCGAAAGAAGATTTGAGGTGAGGTTTTATTTTGTTTTCATAAAGCCTAGGCCTTTTAAAACCCTCATCCTTTTCTTTATGGGATGATATTTTTTTAAGGACTAGGTTTTATAAAAATAAATTAATAAATCTTATAGATCCATGATCATTTATTTTTAAGGTGACATAGACGGTCTAGATAATTTGTTACAATATACACTATTTTTAGGGGTTTGAAATCTAAATTTGTTTTCACAGCTGTAATGGTCAAGGCCGAGATAATTGATTTGAAGGCTTTCTGACACAAGAACAATTTTTACTCAATTTTGAAGAGAGGGTTTACTTATATTGATAGGGCTATAACCCCATCAAAACATTTTATTTTATTTTATAAGAGTAACAAATATTATTAAAAGCAAACAAGATTACAACAAAAATTACAATAACAAAGAAGATAAATATAAAGAGGTCATCGGTACTCCTTTCTTAGCTAAATCATCGACAATAAAGTTTGCTTCCCTATAAATGTGATGAAAGGCAATATTAATACCAAAAGATCACTCATCACTTTGTGCAATAAGGTTAAAAGTCATTAAAGAGGTATTAACAAACCTTTCACCAATTAATGACCTTGTGATAGTCTCCTTCAATAATCATATTTTTCTCTAATCCTCTATCCCTATGGATCCGTAGTATTTGTAGCAAAGATTCAAATTCAGTATGAATAGTTGTAACCACCCCACAAGGCCCATCATAACAAAAAATTATCTGATCTTTGTGATTGCGACATACACACCAAACCCTTGAAGGCCTTGGATTTCCAAAAAAAGAGCCATTAAAATTTAATTTGATGCATCCCAAACCCATCAAAACGTTTTCTTTCATGAAATTAATATGGCTCAAGCCAGTCCAATTTTTTCTGGTCGGGCCAGACTTCCTCAATCGTTTTAGTTTAGGGGTGGGTCTGGGCCTTGACATAAACTTAAATTTCGTACCCTGGCCAAGTCAGGCCTCACGGACACATGCTCAGGACCAAGATTTAGGGGAAGTAATAGCCCAGCCCGAGTCTGGCTCGTTGACAACCCTACGTAAACGGAAAAACAACGCATCGGCTCGGGTTTGAGTTCGTTAGCCGTTAAAATTAGCAATGCTGAATTTCAAATTTGATTCCTCTCATTGTTCTGCCCGAATGAATTAGGAAAAAAAAACAAAAAAACAATGTGAAGAAGAGGTAGGAGAGAGAATAAAAAGGGCACAGCGGATCAGATACGGAACCAGGCCTGGTGCTTTCTTTGAATGCACTTTGTTATCATACATTGACATATTGTAATGCACATGTTTGGTGTGGTCAAAACAATGCTTGGTAATAATAGGAGTGATGACCATAGGGTTGGGAATTTATTAGGACCTGACCCAAGACCCGACTAGCCAACCCGGTTTGGGTAATGGGCGGGTCCGGGATATGGATCTTGTAGGTAGGCCTAAATTTTGGATTTGAATAGAAATTGGGTTGGATCTAGATCCAGGTAGACTCGTCCTGGACCCGACCCAATTATTTTAAAATATCATATGTTATTCTTTATAAGTAAATTTATAAAGGTTAATATAGTGATATATGCATACTATTTATCTTCTTTCGGCACTCTTCTTTTTATAGCCTTACGCACCCTTATGTTAGGGTACTCCTATGAGAATTTTTTTAACGTACGCAATATAAGTGTCTAAAATTTGTTGAATACAATTATAAAATATTCTATAATTACTTTAGCATAATCAATATATATATATATATATATATATATAT